CTCATTCCAGTTAACTGGCAGCAGGTCTGCAGGAGGACTGGGTCTCAGTCCAGTTAACTGGCAGCAGGTCTTAAGGAGGACGGGATCTCAGTCCAGTTAACTGGCAGCAGGTCTTAAGGAGGACGGGATCTCAGTCCAGTTAACTGGCAGCAGGTCTGCAGGAGGACGGGGTACGACAGGACCATTGAAGAGAGGCTGGTTCTCTGAGAAGTAAAGATGGGCAGAGGTGTGCCAGTGTGCAGAAATTTGTGTCTAAAAATTGTGAAACAGGAGTTAAACCTGCAACTTTCTGCTCCCAGGTCAGCTGCCCTCCCTCTATTCAGTTCAGTTTATTTCTATAGCACCAAGTCACAACAAAGTTGTCTCAGGGCACTGAACAGAAACATTCACGTATTTAAAAAAGTCATTTAGTAAAGTTCTCTAAGGAACCACGTCTGCCCCATTTTGTCCAAAGAGTGCTACAATACGTTCATTTAACATTTGATCTGTTAATTAAGCTCCACTGTGAATAAAACATGAGTTCATAAGAATCATAGTTTCTGTCTTTTTTTACATCTCAAACACAACTAACTTCTTCAGAACTGAGGCTGTTAAAGACTAAACAACCAAGTGTTACTGTTGCATCCAGAGTGTTTATTACACATCTTGTTCTTCTATATTTTCTTAACAGAGCACTTCACTCTCAGACTGCAGGTTTACTTGTGGTTCCTAGAGTTTCCAAAAGCAGAATGGGAGGAAGATCTTTCAGTTCTCAGGCTCCTCTCTTGTGGAACCAACTTCCAGTTTCTGTCCATGAGGCTGACACATTGTCCAGTTTGAAGACGTTTCTTTTTGATAAATCCTATAGTTAGGGTTGGCTTGGGTTTCCTGAGCTGTCCCTTAGTTCTGCTGCTATAAGCTCAGACTGCTGTAGGACAAACTGACCACATTACCTCTCTGCTGCTTCTTTACATGCTCTACTCTTCCTGTTTGTAATTGTAATTATTTCCACCTTAACATGTTTTTGTCTTTCTTCAGATATAAAGTACATCTGGACTATAGAAAGTACATCTGGACTATAGAAAGTACATCTGGACTATAGAAAGTACACCTGGACTATAGAAAGTACACCTGGACTATAGAAAGTACACCTGGACTATAGAAAGTACACCTGGACCTGTTGTGTTTGTTTCTACTTCCTGTCCTCTCAAACCAGCCAGATGAAGCAGATGGACGCTCGTCCTGATCCTGGTTCTTCTGGAGGTTTCTTCCTGTTAAAGGGAGTTTTTCTTCCCACTGTCTCCTCTGTGCTCGCTCAGGATGGGAGACTGTGATGAAGTGAAGATTCAACTCAATCTGCTGCTTCCTCAGATAATTTTTACTGATCATCTTTTTTAATGTCTGAAAGTTTCTGTTCAGTGTCCTGAGACGACTTCTGATGTGACTTGGAGCTACAGAAATAAACTGAATGGAATAATATAGGAATAATTATGATGTAAATGTAAATAAAAAGATGCAGATTTTTAAAAGCCGGACTAATTCAGACGTTCTTTGTTTCAAAGCCACATGTGGCCAGCTGCTTCATTTTGATGTATCCACCTTTTGAGCACAAAAGGGATTGTTGTTCATTCAGTTTGGACCCGAGAGGCAGATCATGAAACTGCTTCCTGTAATCACAGTCATTAACTCAAGTTACCATGCGACACAGCAGCTTGAAGAATAATGGGGGGGGGGGGGGGGTGAACGGATCAGGCATGGACCAATAAAGATTAAACCATCGTCAACATAAAAAGATTTCAGTTTAAAACTCAGACATGAAATGTAGCAGACAGCCCTTTAAAGAAAGCTTCATCTGTGATTGTCCCCGTCTCAGAGTGATGAGGGGGGATTGGAAATTACATCCATCCATCCATCCGTCCATCCATCCATCCATCCATCCGTTCATCCATCCATCCATCCATCCGTCCGTCCATCCATCCATCC